GAACTTGTTAGCTTTTGTTAGCTTGGCTTTCTTCGACAGTCGGGTCAGTTCATCAACCAAGAGACTGATGGTGAGTGCAATGCAAAATGAAGAAGACCAAGATCAGGGTCATTCTAAGCGTATCGCTGTTGATCTTGATTCATTCGGGAACAAGAACTTAGAAGATTTTGTCACAGCAAAGTTGATGAATCTGCTCCGAATGATGGTAATGCCATATGGATTTCAAACAGTTGATCCGGACTTGTGGGAAGACAGAGATGACTAAAAGTTGGCTGCAGAAACAGTCGAGTCTGTAAAAGTTGTAAATGACCACGTGTAAGTGGCCCTCATTCAAGAATACAGTGGATTTTTAACACGCGATGAAACGCAGCTGCAATTCCTGCTGCAAGTCGTAGAAGACAATCGCAGAATGTACCCTGATAGCAGGAAACAAACTCTGTCTGGGCTGCCGAAACCATGAACTTAAAACAATAATTCCTGAGTTTGCTCTGGACATTGTCAAGCTGATACCCTCAACTGTAAAAAACTGAGAACTCATATTTAATGTGTTTTAAAATGTTAATTGTGTTGTTTAAAATATATAGATTAGACTCGTTTCTTGTATAATTTTTGTAATATTGGAGGCACTTGAGCTGTCCCTAAAATCAATTATTTCTTAGCCAAACTTTTTATGCAGTGTTTCTATGTTATATGGAACAGATTTGGGGGGTAAGAATTTAAAAAATACAAGTTTTATTATTTTTTTTTTATAAGCTCCACCCTAATGTAAGTGAGTTTAAATTAACGATTTTAATAAAAACAATGATGGCGATTCTCTTTCGTGTCAATTTAAAATTGATTTAAAATTGTGATTAAAATAATATATTTTATTATATCAAAAATGCTCAGAATAAAACTTTTTTATAATAATTAAACTTTTATTATTACGTTGATACCTTGGATATTTTTGATAATTTAGAACATCTTGCAGTACATTTTTCAGCGTCAAGAAAATAAAGGTTTTTTTGACAACTAGTGCAAATCGTAGCAGACATGCTTCTAGGTTTAGATCACATTTATAATTAATAAAAGTCTTTATTTTTTGAAGGATTAGTTCAGAAAAAGTGATAATAACTTCCTTGATCTTTCTCCTTTATGTGCTAGGCAATTGCAGGAAACACTGAACTTTATCGCCATTTTTAATTTTTTAATTTTTTTTTCTACCAAAAATTTGTATAAACCTGATTTTTTCCAGGGTATTTCAACATATTTTTACCGCATTTACTAGCTTTGAAAAAACTTAAAATAAAATACTGAATTTATTTTTAACAAATAACATAAGACAGTATGTGGTTTTGATTTCAAATTGATTATATCTAATATTATATATTACATCAATAGATCAAATTTTTACAAATGAATTTCTCACAACAAAAATAAAAACTGGAATATTTAAAACGGATATTTCGGACCATTTTCCATTTTTTATTATATCAAATAAATGCGATAAGTCTTATTCTCAAAAAAGAAAAGTAACAATACGACTAATTAACGATACCTTCATTAAATCTTTTTATGATGTTATAACATTCGAAAAATGGGACGAAACACTAATAAATTTAAATGCTGATGAGGCCTATGATATCTTCTTAAATAAGTTTCTTCAATATTATAACAAAGCATTTCCCATAGTTACAAAATTATTAAAAGAAAAAACCCTTATGAGACCTTGGATAACAAAGGGAATTATTAAATCTTCAAAAATAAAACAGAGATTTTATTGTAAATATCTTTAAAAAAAAACACTACAAAATGAAACTAACTATAAAAATTATAAACGCTTATTTGAGTCAACTTTGAGACGTTCAAAAGCTAATTACTATTCAGATCAAATAATAAAAAGTAAGGGTTCGCAAAACACATGGCGCATTATTAGGGAAGTTATTGGCAAAAAAGATTTAGATAGAAATGTTTTGCCAAAATATCTCAAATTAAATAATAAATTAGTTTTTAATAAATCATTGGTGGCTGAAACGTTAAATAACTTTTTTGTTAATGTGGGTAAAAGTTTAGCTGAAAAAATTAAACCATCTCAAATAAGTTTTAAATCATACTTGACATCAACTAATGCTGCTATGCCAAATCATGAACTTAAGGAGGAAGAATTATTAAATTCAGTTTCTTTGTTAAAAATTAACAAAAGTTCCGGTTTAGATGATATCAGCAGTATAGTCATTATTAAGTCACTAAAATATATAACAATACCCCTTTTACATATTTTTAATTTATCTTTAAAACATGGAATTTTCCTGAAAAACTAAAGGGTGCAAAAGTTACATCAATTTTTAAAACAGGTGATCCTTCTGATGTATCCAACTACAGACCGATCTCAGTTCTTAATTGTTTTTCAAAGATTTTGGAGTGTATAATGTATAATAGACTTTATTCTTTCTTAAATGTAAGTAATATTCTTTACAATAAACAATTCGGGTTTAAATCCGGTCATTCGACCGATCACGCAATAATTAATCTTGTGCATGAAATTTTTAAAGCGTTTGATGAAAAAAAATTTACTTTAGGTGTCTTTATTGATCTGAGCAAAGCGTTTGATACTGTAGATCATAATATTCTTCTTTATAAACTTAAAAATTATGGTATCATAAATTCTAACTTAAGCTGGATTAAGAGTTATTTAAAGAATAGGAAACAATGCATTTTATATGATGGCGAGAAAACAGACTTGATGACAATTACCTGCGGAGTCCCCCAAGGATCAATTCTGGGACCGCTTTTATTTCTCATTTATATAAATGATTTGAGTAAATTTTCCAATATCTTAAATTCAATTTTATTTGCTGACGATACTAACATATTTTATTCAAACAAAGATATTAATTTTTTATTTACAACAGTGAACGAGGAGCTTGTGAAACTATGCGAATGGTTTATATCAAATAAATTTTCCATAAATATTAAAAAAACAAAATATACTTTCTTCCATCGTCTTCATGATAAAGACAACATACCCTTACAACTTCCTAAGCTTTTTATTAATAACTCTTATGTCAAAAGAGAGAGTTCTTTGTTGTTTCTAGGCGTTGTTTCAGATGAAAACGTAACATGGAAGGAGCACATATGAATAATCCAAAATAAAATTTCGAAAAATATAGGCCTTTTATACAAAGCAAAACAGTTGTTGAACCAAACTTGTTTGAAACTTATTTACTTTTCTTGTATTCATTGCTATCTAAATTACGCTAACGTTGCTTGGTGCAGCACTAATGTATCTTAAAAAAAAGGGCTTCTAATTAAACAAAAACACGCTCTAAGAATAATTGGAAATGTGAATCGCTTTTCGCACACTAAATTACTTTTTAATAAATTCAAAATACTTAACGTATTTCAACTTAACCTATATCATATTTTTATATTTATGTTCAAAGTAGATAATAAAATGGCACCCATTTTATTTAAATCATTTTTCGAAAAAATAAATCATTTATACCCAACAAGATTTTCAAACAACAATTACATTCAACCAAAAAAATATTGTTCTGCGACTAGATTCTCGAAAGCAATCAGAGGACCTAAATTATGGAACACCCTATTGGATAATGAGTTTAAAAAAATTTCTTCCCTTGATCAAAAAATAAAAAAAATAAAGAGTAAACTCTTGATAATTGACAATGAACTTGACTTTTTCTAAAACTTTTAAATAGGAGTAATCACTTGTTTTTTACTTGTTATTTAATTTATTTTTAACATATTAATTTTTGATTTTAATTTGAATCTTTACCTTCTTAAATTATCATGTTTTATCTCATTTTTATTTACTATTAAAATTTGAAATCCTAATAAAAAAAAAAACTAAAAAAAAATATTAAATTTTAATGAAAAATATTTAGATATTTGTATTTATATATGTACCTTACGCATATATTATATTGTGATAACGGATTTTTTTTTGGTTTTTTGGTTTTTTGTTTTGTTTGTTACTTGTATTCTTGTTTGAAGGGGCTTGGCGATAAGACTGAATTTGTCTTCTTCTTGCCCCAGCCGTGTATATACAGTTTTTAAAGTCTAATTTTGTAAATATTTTCTTTATGGCGAAATATATATTATATTATATTAATATTATATAGTATTATTACTATATTATTATTAATTTTCAAATTGACACAATTTTTAACCTGGCGGTCAAATTTCAGAGCAGTGAATACTTAAACAATCAGATTTCAATCACTTATTTATAATTACGCCCGTAGCAAATCAAAAAATCTTATTACGGGCCTAATTTGAAATATGTGATTGTACATGACCATGATTGTGATTATATACATATATGTATAAGAAAGAACAAAACTTTTTAACTGCATATTGAGGCTCTTAAACCTCGCGGCCCTGGACCTAGTTGCTTGAGGGACAGTAAATTTTGCATTCACACGCCTTGCTGCAGTTAGACCTAAATAGTTTCTTTTTCTAAAAAGTTCTGAATTTTTTACACTCATAAAATACCATAGTTTTTAAAACAAATGCCGGATTAAGACTTGCAGGGTGTGGGGATACATTTGAAAAGGTGGTCTTTTTTCTTATTGAAGTGGCAAGAACACCTTTCAAAGATAAAGCTTCTTCTTGAAAATTTCGGAGCTCTTAAATCTGCAGGACATAAGGTTGTAGCCCTCATAAACAATGACTGGTTTAAATTTTTTCTCCATAGTTTTTAAATAATAAAAACGTTTACCTAAAATGCCTGTAAAAAGACCTAACAATTACGTACTTAATTACTTATACGGAAATATAAATTAACATAAAGCGTTTAAAATTACTTATGTAATTGACTTTTTCATAAAAACTAATTCCCTTGTGTAAGTAAAAACAATTAAGTAAAAGAAGTATCACTAAGGTGTAATTTAAAAAATATTTTACTTTTAAGAAAAAAAATCGTAAAGGTTTTTTTTATAAAAATTCAAATTTTATAAACTTATTCAAAAACAATATCTTTGAAATAAAAAAAAAATATATAAATAAAAAATGTATTCCTTTCTTTAAAAATAAAATAGAATAAGATGTGGAAAATACATTTTTAAGTAATACAAAAACTCAAAGTAGAAAGTATTTTATCGTAACACATTAAAATTTGAACCCAAGCGTCTTTTTTCGTACGGCGTCTTTTTTCAAACTTTTTTTATTATCTAAATAAAAAAAGCAAAAAAATAAAAACGAAATAAAAAAGGTATGCATTATAAAAATTGAAATGGTTGAGTACAATAAACATAATATAATTAAAATACAATAATAATAAAATAGTTAAACAATGCAATATAATTAAATTTTGATGAAGTTTTTGTAGATGAATAAAATTGGTGTCTCTTGATTGATTTAAAAAGAAACAACATCATCGTAAGCTATATAAAGCTACTGGCTATATCGGTCACTGTATTGACCGATATGGCTAGTAGCTATATAGGTCAACATGCATATAGCTTGTACTCAAAACATAAATAAAGTATTATATTTTCACCGTGTTGTTTTAACTATGGTTTGGGGAATACATCATTTATAACTTATTTGAAATATTTTGTGTTTTCTATAAAAGTGTAAAACAAATATTAGAAATAGCAATTGTACAAAAAAACACAGCCGCTAAATTCTAGTAGTTTACTGGTAATCTGACCAGAACAAAAGTTATCTAATTATAATTAAATGGTTTTTACAATCCCTGCTACATAGTACTTGAGAAAAAATGTACAGGAAACGGGTTTTTTCATGTAAAAGCTTTTAGACATATCCAATAATAAAAAAAAGAAAAAACTAAGTAAAACTCACCTCTAGACCCATTACTAACTATGAAAGCCTTGATGGAACCATCCTGAACTTCATACCATGGATCTCCAGCGAAAACGTTAATATCTGTAAATTCTTGTGCGTCTAAGTTTTCTACTTCATATACTAAGTTGTTATTAATAAGCACAAAAAAAAAAAGTTTTTTATGGACGAACTTTTTGTTCTATATGAACATCTATCCATTGGTTTAGTGGAAGTGGATCGGAATTAAAATAATTGTTTTTTTCACCGCTTATTGCAAAAGCAATGTGTAACCTTTGCTCAAAAATCCAAATGCCCGGAATTCGATCACCGTAGTTTTGATTATCTTCTCGTTTAGTAAAATGAATAACACTTCTATACCCATCTGAAAAATTGTTGAGTTTTTAATGGAAAAGAATTCTAAATGATTTTTGTAATTTTGACAGAGCCGCAACCAAGTTATTTTTCTGCAATGTCATTTCTTTAAAAAGTAACACATAGCCTAATATAAAGGGAAACCACTTTTAAAAACCGTAAGTTAATGATTTCAAGTAAAAATCAAATAAGAAAAACAAATTTATAATAGAAAAAACATTCTCTTTTCAAAGTTTGGTTAAGTTTAATAAATCTTACTTTCTGCCATTACAGCTTGTGCCAAAGATTCACCTAAAATACCATGTAAAAAATGGAATCTATATAAATTTAGTTTAACAATAATTAAAAAATAAAATTATGAAAAAGAAAATCTGTAGTTCTGTTTAAAAAAGCAAAAAAGATATGTAAATGATAATTAAATGTGTAATTTAAAAGTTTTTATAATGTATTCTATGTATTACTGCAAAATTGTATTAACAAAACGAAAAAACAGACCCTTTGTAGTAACTAATTTAGGTGCGTTAAACACAACCCGTGAAAAAAGAAATATGAAGTAATAACTGGCTCCCCATTTTCAAGAATTAGATTTTTTATTGATCCATTATGAGCTGGATGCCAAGGATTTGAAGCAAAAACTTTAACATTGTTAAATTTTTGGGGTTTTTTATTCCTTTCGGAAAACACATTCGTTCCATTTAGATAAATTGTGAATACATACTTGTTATAAACGCGTCGCTGACTCACAACAACTTTTGTCCACACATGAGAGGAAGTGGTTTGATATATATTTGTCTGGAAATATCTCCATTTATAGGTGCAGCAATGTGAAAGAAATAGTTGTTAGTATCATTGTGTCGAAACCAAATTGCTGGAGTTCTATCTCCGTATTCATAAAGATTTATTCATTCATCAGATTCATAAAATTGATTTAGTTTGAAAATAATTATATGGAAGAAAAGAAAAAAAAAGATGTTTAACATCGTGATTATTTATTTTTGAAATGAGTGAGAATAAGTTTAAATACCTAAACCATGTGTAACCACCGATAGTAAAACAAAACCAAGTATAATTTTCTATGAAAAAAACCTTTACATAAATTAAGCTGTTTTTATCAAAACTTATTTTGAAAATAAAAGTAAAAAAACTCATTAGGTATAATTTAGAATTTAATAATACCATAATTTTTTCAATCATTTTTGCAGTGTTTCGCTTTCTCTCTGCAAATCTGCATGTATTCATCAAATGACGCGTCTTTATATATACGAAAGAGTTACTGGCGTGTGACCGAAATAATATTCTTTACAATGGTTTTTGTTAAATTAAATTTGCAACATAATCTTTTATTTCATCATGTAAAAATATTTTAATCACTGTTTGACGAAAGTTCATAAATGATAAAAACTCAGTTTGCATTGATTTTTAAAATGAAATTCGCTAAGCTCATTAATGAAACTGTGTCATTATTTAAAAACCAACGTTTTATAGTTGTAAAATAAAATAAATAGACCATTTAAATGTTCTTTGTTTTTGTTTAAAAGACGTGTACTTTTATACTATTGATTATCTTTTTATTCCGTATATCATGCTGAAAGTTTCATTATACATACATTGTTTGTTTCATTATACAAAGGACATAAAACAAGATTTTACGGCCTTGTAAATACATAAGTTAAGAGCTTATATTGTAAAATATTGTAAATAAAATTACGCAGCAGTTGTTAAGTTGAGTCGCCTATTTTTATATAATTGTGTCTACTAAACTGGAATTGTTTAAACGTATGCAAAATAATGGTCTAAATGAAAAACTGGACAACCCTGTGCAGGTAGAACTGCAAAGTTGAAATGTTAGAACTTTGGGCTCATTTTAAAATCTTTTTACTGGCTATTTTGTTTATTCGCTATGCAGTTAACTAAGAGTAATACTTCCATAACGCGATTTATTTTTCTTTCCTAATTGCATTTTAAATAAATTTTGTGTACTTGTTTATTTTCAACAAATAACACAAAACTTTCTATCCTCGCAGTCGGAAATACGTCATAATCTTTGCCGCGAACAGCTACCATTTTAGTTGGCGGAATATAAACTTTCATTCTGAAAAGAAAACAATGACATAACATAACAGTCTTTAAAATGCCCAAGATTTGTTTGTCTTTAGGTGAATTTTGATATATATATATATATATATATATATATATATATATATATATATATATATATATATATATATATATATATATATAAATATATATATATATATATATATATATATATATATATATATATATATATATATATATATATATATATATGTTTTATAAGATGGTTTTGGTATTCTGAGTCAACTCTGGTGACTAAGATGATATTGTTGTTTTAAACGCACAAGTCAGACAATTTGTGTTTTTAAAACAACAAAACTAGAGTTTAACTTCAAAAAAAAGTGTGAAAAACTTCCTGCATCTAGCCAGGGCCATAATATTTATAAGCATCTAATGCTTCGTTATTATCTATAGCCTCAAAAGAAAATATTATAGGACTTTTTATTTAATAATTATAAACGGCTTGGTATTGAACTCATGGACATTCAGTTTGATCATCTTTCCAAGTATTTGCAAGAAACCTGTATAGACATTGGTTGATTCCAAGGATTGCAAGTTTATTAATATACTATCTGCGGCGTTAAAATCATGTTTTTCAAAGTATTTATAAACCAAATTTTCTTTTTTTAAACTCTTTAGATCACTTTTTCGTACCAATTCTCATGCTTTATTAACTCAAGTAATCATTTGATTTCCCTCATCCAAGATGGTAACAACTTGCGCTATTGTTATTTTGTATAATCACGTGACTTTCTGACTGCGAGGATGCACTTTAAAATCAGTCTTTAACAGGTTAAAATTCGTTAACTGCTATTGGATGTGGCAAATAAAGTATTAGAAAATGCAACCATTTACCCTTTAACAGAGAAAAAGGCGCGAGATGGCGACCAGAACAAGATGGCTTTTATATAACAACCAAACCAGAAAAAAAATGTTCAAACAAAAATTAGTTTGTGTTCGGTTTTTCTAATGGAAAGTAGTTTTTAAAATGTCATAAAGTTAACACACATAATAAGTTATTTTTTCACTTTTGTTTGACCAGACATAGCTTTTATACATTTTTCTTTTTAATATTTCTTACAATGTTTTCAACTTGTAAATTGAAAACTCATGCAGGAATTTAATTTTTATAATAAAACAAATATAGTGAAAAAGCATTTTTGCTTTATGACTTATAAATTTTCAAATTTTAAGGACTTCAAAAACGCTTGCCATAACACCTTTTCTTCCTACACTATGCATTTTCTTATGTATAATTTTGTCAAATGGTTATATTTTGCATTTGCAAGATGGTCTTTGTTGCAGTTCTTAAGTTCAAATTTATTTATACTTAACCAGAAATCAATGTTGCTCATATAATGCTGTTGAATATCTCCTGATTTTTCTATATATATCCGGATGTAAAATGACTATAAAAATTTTTGGTTTAAAGTAGATGTCTTGATTTAAAGATTTGTTAATAAGTATTTATAAATCTCTTGTAAAAATGAGCTATATACATGAATTTACTTTAAATCTGATTCTAATTGCATCGCAGATATCAATACCTTGATGTCTCCTGTCCTTATAATAAAAAAATAATTAACAAAAAAATGACATACTATAAAAAAGTTGACACTTAATAACAGTTCGATAGAAGAAACCTGTATAATCATTTATTAATTCATAGACAGTGAACTAAAGTGAGATTTTAAAAAGTTTTTATGTTGGACTAAAATGTCGTTATTATAACAAAAGTTATATAACTTAAAAAAAACTTATTATGTTTTAATTTCTTATATTATTATTATTACATATTATTTTTTATATTTTTATTTATTATATTAGCTAATAAAATATGACGAATCAAATATTTTCTTTAATTTAAATGAGATTATAAATAGATCAATGGACTGTAAAACAAAATAAGGATCATCTTTTTAAAAATTTCATTTATATGAAAGCTTATTTTTAATTTACTTCATTTATCGCTATCTTTAACAGATTAGATTTTGCATAAAAGATAACGAAGTTTCAAAATCTATAGAATAGACTTTCTTTTGTTAATGCCGCTTTTTTACAACCCAACATAATGACTTTTTTTTCGATACTTAAAAGCTTAAGCTAAAATAGTGATAAGTATTCTCGCCAAATAAGTGCAAACAATTTAATTGTAGCAACTGAAATTTATTATTTTAATATTGTTCAAATCATCTTCTTTTATTTTACAAATCCAAGCCGGCAAACCTCAGAATAATGCTATGCTAAATCATTTAAGACTATAAATACATTTTGTTTATATCTCAACTTGATTTTTTTGATTTGTTTATATCTCAATTTGATTTTTTAGAACCATGATGTACTAAAATTTTCTAAAAGCTGTCATGAAATAACTATATTTAACAACTACACTGGTTTGACAACAGCTTATCTCTATCAGGTTCATTGGTTGTTAATTCATATATAATGTTTTTCTTTGTATTTACTTATTCGTTACATTTTTTAACTTCAGGTTTATCATTCGACGTATTTATGTAGTATAGAAGAACAAATCATTGTAAATTTTTATAATTTTTTTAAAAATATATGCTAATAAATAGTCCAGTCAGCATTTTAAGTTCAATGTTACATATACCATTTTTTAGTAGTTTCTAGGCATTTCTAAATGCTTTTTTTATTCAAGTGGTTTTACAAGCAAGGTCTGCAAGCAAATTTAAGCTGAAAAGTTTTCAGCTTTAAAGGAGATTTGATATTGTTCTCTTTTTAATTTAATTTGTTCAATTAGAGTAATTTTAATTAATAAATGTTTGTTTTTTTAGTTATTTGTTTTCAGATTCTTAAGAACTAGGCAACCTAGTGAACCAAGATGTGTTTTATTTTTTAGTGGAATTAGAAGTTTTCAGACAGTGGAACTGTAACTGATTTAAATAAGTTTAATATTTTGTTTCTTTTTATATTGGACTTATTTTATATTAGATATACTTTTTATGTATTTAACATGGAAAACTTACAGTCATTTTTTGCAGGGAAACCAAACCCTCAGTCGAAGTAGCAGCACTCACTTGCAAGTCAGGCTATTTGTCAGTCCATGTAGCAGCACTCCGTTGCGAGTCAGGCTATTTGTCAGTCGATGTGGCAAAACTTCCTTGCGAGTCAGGCTATAAGATAGTCGATGTAGCAACATTTGCGCATGTTTTAAAAATGTTTTTTAATAAAACAAAAACAAAAACACTACTAATTAAAAAAAACTTTCTAGTCGTTATTATTGCGATTTTTTAAAAAAATTAAAAAAAACAATAAAATTTAATGTATTTCCGCATTAATTTAATTGCTTTGACATTACGACGACAATCAAATACAGCTTAAGAGACAAGGTAATTAAAATTGTAGTCGAAAGAGACTTTTTTTACATTAAAACGCTCTTTCGACTACACAATAAGGATATATATATATATATATATATATATACATATATATATATATATATATATATATATATATATATATATATATATATATATATATATATATATATATATATATATATATATATATATATATATATATATATATATATATATATAATGAAATGTATATATCAACATAATTTTATTTTCTTTAATTAAGATAAATTATCGTAAAACACTACTGCCTCTAACGATTACTTGGTAAAAACACATGTTTACACATACTTTTCCATGTGTTTAAAACTAAATTAAAAAATTCTATAAGGTGACGTTTTTTCTTATAACTCCCTCCTCCTTTGTTATTTTTTGTCTTTATTATCTTAACCCCCTCTTCCCTATTATCACGGCGTCCTTTATGGATGCTTCCTTAATGTTTATAAAATTGTCTTTAAATTTATTGGCTAGTTCTATTTTTGGTAGTAGTATGGAGAAGATTTCCGTAAATTATTAAATAATTAAACTTTAAACATATTAATTGGAGTTAATGATAATGACCACAGTAAGTCATCATGCAAGCGATTTTTCTCATTATTAATTGCAAAGAAACTGTGTTAAGAAAAAACCCTTGTTGTTGTGTAAGAGAAAATACCGGTACATTACAACAATATTAGACAAACTCGGCCTTTAAGAAGAGAACATCTCTTGTGATATCATTTCTAGTTATTCGGAATTGGAAAATATTATATGTGGGCTTCAAACTCATGAAAAAATGAATCTTTGCACAATGAGAAACATTAACTCTAGATATCTCTGAAGATCTCTACCAATAATTAGCACCTTCTATGAATCTTTTTAAGCATTCAAAGCTTTTGTGAGCAATTTTAAACAGACAAAAACATTTTGAAACGTTGCAAATCACAGAACAATATGTAGCGTGTAGGTGTTTGGTCTCATTAAACAGTGTAAGGCTTTTTGAAAAGAGTTTTTTTCAAAAAGCCTTTAAAAATTTCTTTATCCTGGTTTTGAATCTCATCAAATAGAAAAAAATCTATTTTAGTCTATAAAGTTCGCAGGCAATTAACTAATCATTTCCGCCGTACTTACTAACAAAAGGTTTACTCAAGAGATTAATCATGTTGAGTATGCCAAAAAAAATTTGAATCGGAATACCTTTCCAATAAACTATCAACCAAATTATGATTTTATTACAGATAAATCTTTAATTGCAGAACAATTCATTCAGTAATTTGTTCATGTAGTATCTAACTTTAAATTCTAACAAAACCAATATGCAGGGTGACCAGAAAAAACAGAGACAAAATTTAATATGTCCTCATAATAATGTTTTTTACGGTATCCAATTAATTTTATTGGTTTTCGGATTCTCCATGTTTTTATGTTTAGTATATATATGTTCTTAGTTTGATATCTCTAAAATGTATTGTATTTTTAGAATGTCAAATAAACGTAGTGCAATTTTGGAGTTGTTTCGTAAAGGATTGCGTCAATGTGATATTGTTTGCTTGCTTAATGTGTCTAAGCAAACTGTGTCCGACGCAATAAATCATTTCAAGGAGCTCGGCCACGATGTTCGCCGTCCAGGAATTGTTAAAAGACGCACTGCAAACACGTCTGCTACCCGCCAGATTATCAGGAAGCGATTCAAGCAAAATTCAAGGGACTCCATAAAAAAAATCGCCCGTGAAACTGGAATGAAACGTGAATCGGTGCGACAAATGGAAAAAAGGTTGCTCAACCTCAAACCGTACAAGCTACAAAAGTATTGCTCACCGATGAAAGCAAACGTGTGCGGTAGTAGCTGGTCTGCTGAGGCTCCCGACACTTCGGCCATTTTCGAACACCACCAAAATCCGCAGTACCTCATGGTCTGGGGCGGAATCTGCGTTAGTGGTAAAACCCCACTCGTTTTCGTGGATCAAGGAGTCAAAAGTCAACTAAGAAGTCTACCGACGCAATATTTTTGTGACAGTGGTACTTCTGTTGGCCCAACAACGCTTCAGCAATGTTATATGGACGTTCCAACAAGACTCTGCCCCTGCTCACAAAGCAAAAACTATACTGGTGTCGGACCCGTTTTCCGGACTTCATCGCGTCTTCGGAATAGTCGCCCAATTCGCCAGATCTCAACTCGATTGGTTACAGCGTGTAGTCAATTTTAGAGGCCAGGGCCTGTGCAACACGCAACAAAGTTTGGAGTCTGTGAAGCAATCGCTGCGCCGGGAATGGGATCGATTGTCGCCAGAAGACCTGCGGCCCATCGCTAAAAATTTCAAGACGCGTTTGAGCTTATGTATTGCTACGGGAGGAGGCCACTTTAAAACCGGCTGAGTATATTATCGCGGAATGTCCATGTTATTGTTATTCATTGTGATTTAATTATTTTTGGTTGGTTTAATAAAAAATGATTAAAAATGTTTGTCTCCGTTTTTCTGGACACCCTGTATTGGACAATAATGAACTTACAGAAAGAGAACTGTTGAATGCAATGTTTTTTGCTAAAACATAAAAAAATGTAGGATATGATGATATCAGTATATATCGCGTCATTATAAAATTAATAAAATACATAACTATTCCACTATTGCACATTTTTAATCTGTCTTTAAAACAAGACGTTTGTACTGAAAAATTGCAAAAGTTTGTGCCATTTTTCAAATCTAGTATTATTTCAAACGTTTTAAACTATAGACTAATTTCAATTCTTCCTTGCTTTTCAAAATACTAGAGTGAACTGTGTACAATAGACTTATACGTTTTTAAATAGAAATAATACAATTAATTCGACATTCCACTGACTATCCCAGCTAACAATTAACGTTTAATAAACGTTGCCACAACGTTTGTGTAGGTTTGCGTAACATTCACCGCAAACGTTACATGAACTAACATCTGTGAACTCCGAATAACAGTTCTTGAACGTTCAATACAAACGTTCAAATAACTAACAGCGAACGTTGACCGAACATTCAGTGCAAATGTTATGCGAACGATATTTTGATTGCTCTTGAAAGTTTACTTTAAACGTGAAATAATGAACATCGGACGTTTACCAAACGTTTTTTTTTGTAAATTTTTTTTTAATTAAATGTCTAAATGCATAGATTTAAACGGACTTTTTGTTTAAACCTATACATTTGCTAGTTTAATATTAAAAAACAAGACAATGTTTTTTCCTTAACATTAAACTAATGTTTAGCATTGACGGAATCCTTTTTTATTTAACCAGTACAAATTTACCATGTTTTAATTACTTTAGAAGTAAAGCTTATTTGAGAGACCACAATTTATTCCATTTCAACCGTAAAGCCATAACTGGATGAGCTGTTTACAATTAACAAAAAGTTATAGCAAAAAATCTACAAATTATAATGAAAAACTTATTATTTTATTATCTATACATAAAAAAAATTATAACAATAAAAAAATGCATTTTTCGTATTTTCAGAATCAGAACTTTCTTCAGCTTGTTGCAACAGTACATCTTCACTCGGAGTATTTGCAAAGATATTAGCCTAAAATTAAATAAATAAACATTTTCTATCATAAAGAATAAATGAAATACACTAAGATCAATATTAATAGTTAAAATTTACTAAAAATCATCTTTACAGAGAGAAAAAAAGCAATTAAACTCATGTACCTCATAGTTAACTCCTCCTGGTCGATTAGGAGCATGCTTTAATACCTCCCTGTTCTCTTCCTCTACTTTTTGCACGTTAGCATCCTTGATGATCTTTTACAAGCTTCTAAATGATTATTTTTAAATCAAATTTAAAATAGGTAATAAAACAGTCACAGGTTAACTGCATAACCAATTATTAAAAACATTTATGGTGCATAATAATTTTTAAATATAACTAAGCATTTCAATCGTTGCATTATAAAGTAACTTACCATATAAAAAACTTTAAAAAAAACTTACTCTTCACTACTTGGCAGAGTAAACAGCTCTCAAATGATATTTTTCCTTTTCTGCCATTGAAACTAAACAAAGACCAAAGTTGGTTTGTTGCTGTTGTGCGCATAATGCGCCGAATCGCACCTTTACAATTCCGACCACCTAGACTTCCAAAATAATTAATCTAAAGAAGCAATCATTGCATCTATATATGAAAAAAAGTAGCATATAAAGTAATATATTGTAATAATAAAAGTATATATAAATTGCAAAATGCGTCTTTAACATAATTTCTAATTGCTATTTGCTACTTTAATAACAAAATTCTTATTATATAGTGTGTCAAGTTATGTGGTACTGGCTACAAAAACCCGTATGAATTTAATTGACAAAGTATGGTGAGAATCAGAGTCAGGGGATGATAATATACTTTTACAAATATACCTCAATACAACACTTTATAGCAATTTTGGTCTGTTGTTAACTAGACCAATGCATAAATAATGTAAATGAAACGCAAGTTTAAATTTAAATAAAATTGATAATAATCACCATTTTTTTGTGATAACTAGGATCCTTCAACTTTATTTCAAGCTGTCGTAATTCATGTTTATTTTTCATCTTCTGGGGAAACACATCGTCCAAAACATCATCCCCGCTAACAGCCACAAGACTTAATTTAAAAATCATTTTGGATTTTTTTTTTTTTGTTTTTTTTTTTTGCTGTAGTTTCTCATTATGTAAAAAAGTGCATAGATACTTTTTGGAATTTAATTGAATTACAACATTTTGGTGTCAAGCAGATTTGGGCTTCATAGATTTTAGGCCTAATAAATACCATCAAAATTTGTTAAATTTGTAAAATCCATATATACTTTTGTTTAAAATTTGTTATAAAAATAAATTAAAGTATTTTAACTTATACCAACCATTTTCACTAGACATCCTGTCAGTTGATGCAATACGTGCAAGATTCACTTGACTTACAGATGCCGAAGGTGAATGATTAATATTTGCAGCAGCTGACACAGCTGCACTTTGCACATGCTAAAATACTTGAGATGAAACGGCTGCTCGTTCCTGTAAGTATGCATTTGTAGACTGTAGGGATGCATTTTTTCCTTTGAAAAATAATAATTTCTTTAATATTATCTCCAACTTACACATTAAATCAGGATTAATAGCAGAAAATATAAGTAGCATAGTACTAGAAGGTGACTTTTATAATAAACATATGAATTAAGAAATAAAGTATTGAATTATCATTAGTAATATCAAAACAAACGTGCCATTGTTCTGTTTTGCACAATATTTTGGTGCAGATGGAAAGGTACTTTTTTTGCTCAGAGGACTGTGATCACCAGAAGAGGTTTCTGTAAAAGTAACTATAAAAAGTAACAAAATTTGAGTTACAAAAAAATAGAATTTTAAATGTTAGTGTAATTAAAATCGTGCTACAATACATAACCTAATCAACTACATTCCAGATACATACATTAGTGCTATATGTCATAATAATGTTAACACATGTTAAATGTGAAATACTTTATTATTAAAACAAAAATTAACTCTTGCCTTTGTTTTGTTTTGAATTATATCTTTGTGCAGATATAAGTTTGATTTTTTTCTTTGGAGGGTTGTGATCGCCAGAAGAGGTTTCTGTAACATTAACAATAAAAAGGTAACAAATTTAAGTTACATCAGCATGGAATTATAAATACTAGTGTAAGTAAAATCATGCTACAGTATATAATTTATCCAACTACATACCATCTTCAATATCAGAAGAAGTCTCTTTGTTTATATCAGTATCTTCCACATTTGACATTACTATGCTCTCTTAGCTAAATCTGATGCTTTGGTATAAAATTCCACTAATAATATATAAAATTAAAATATACAATCTGCCTAAAACCTGATTATTACATTCAAATATACTTAAAAGAATAACGTAACATTATTGTATTAAATATATTTTTATAGTTTTACGTTTCTTGAATAGATTGCTTATTCAATACGCGATATTTTAAAATAAAAATATTTCATAGACTTTATACAGTTTTATAAATAAACATAATGCTTATGTTGTAAAAATGCATTCATTTTAAAGCTGAACTAAACTTTTAAATTATCAAATTTTGAGCAAATGGTAAGTATCATGGACATTTAATCCATTGTTTAGATGTACAAGTAGATGGACATTTAATCCATTGTTTAAAAAGCAGATTATTCAGTTTTTAATCAGTGCTAATATAACAAAATAACAAACTTGCAACCAACAAATTATTGTAAGTCTTTACCTACGGCCCCAAAAGTTCTAATTTTGTATAGTAGCCACTTTTGATCAGGTAATTCACTCATTTTGATTCTGCACACTGGTTCCTTTCTGGGCCAATAACCAAGCAGTTGCTAAAACAAACACAAAAACATTCTAACGCATGCATCCAACAACATTTTATAATAACTATCAATAATTAAATCTTTATTTACAATTTCTGCATTACTGTAAGAAAGAGTACAACTATTACAAAACAGATAATTGCACTGCCTTATTAATTAATTGTTGTAATAATTTACCTCATTTAAATATTAATAGCCGAATGAATATTATTTTTATTAGTTAAAAAGGGTGTTGGGTTATGCTTCATTTTAAGGTATCTAAATATGTATTTATTTTTCATTATTTAGAATAAGTTAGAAATAATTTGACTGGTAAAATAGTTTTTTCAGTACAATGTTTCTTTTTTAAGAAAACTGTTTCAGTTTTTCGTTAGTCTTTTTAAAACATTTTAAGCAGTATTTGTTTCATTTTTTTAGAGCAGTCAAGAGGAGCTGATCGCTTTTTTAGTAAGTTCAAGTTGTTTTCTTATACATAAATTAAGATTTTCGATTTATTTCAGTCTATTTTATATTTCTCTATATCTATATATATATATATATATATATATATATATATATATATATATATATATATATATATATATATATATATATATATATATATATATATATATATATATATATATATATATAATATATATATATATATATATATATATATATATATATATATATATATATATATATATATATATATATATATATATATATATATATATATATATATATATATATATATATATATATATATATATATATATATATATAGGAAAAATAATAAGGAATAGAAAAATAAGGAAAATTTTTTCTGGAATTTTTCAAAAGAGTGTTCATTAGGTATCTTAATATGTATTTATTAGAAATTTTTAATTTTGATCTTAAATGGTTTCTTCTTTTTCATTACTTTAGATTAATTTATACTGACTGATATAACTTAATTTTTATTAACAATGTTGGGCATTGTAGTCTGCATTCTTTGTTACATTAAAAATAATTGAATCTAATAAATATTGTTTTATAGTTGTTAAAAGTTTGCAGATTATGCTCGAAGTTAAAAAAGTTTTTGATAAATACGTGTATTTGATGATATATGTTATATAGTTGTTTATATAAATGTGTTTTTATAATATTACGAAATGTATTTTATCTAATGTGTATGTGATTCTTAAATGTGGTGATTTAGGTCTAAGTGTTCTTTCTTTTTTGTATATATTTTATTTTATTGTATAATGATTTTTATCTCAACTATCTTATTGTATAACTATATTGAATATTCAAGAAAAGAACAAAAAAAAAATATATATATATATATATATATATATATTTTATATAGTTGTTTATTTAAATGTGTTTTTATAATAGTATGAAATGTATTTTATCTAATGTGTATATGATTGTTAAATGAGGTGATTTTATATGTTATATAATATTAAAAAAAATATATTGTGTTTTATAGTTAGTATATATTTTTATATAATGTTGTTTCCATGATTTTAAAGTGGTGTGACTTGGCAAACATGTAGAGATATATTTTTCATTCTTACCAGTCAAGCACTGCTTTAGGTCTAAGTGTTGTCTAGCCTTTTATATAACTATATTGAAAATACACAACGTTATCTTTGATATTTTTTTGCGTAATGTTGTTATCTTTGGCTTATATTTATATTGGTAACTGTTGTTTAAAAAATGATTAAGAGGTAGTTTCATTCACAAGTTCAAAGTGTTTATTTAAACATTAAGTAGATAATGTTTAGTAGCTTAAAATTTTAGGTAATATATAATCTTTTTAAAATTTTATTAAGTAACTAATTTATTTTAATCTTTTTTTAAGTTGCACTTTTAAATTTAAAGCTTCGTGTATAAAATATAGATCTAAATATAATTTGCGCAATGAATACTATTATTATTATTATTAGTGTCGTTTCACTTTCATTTTTAAAGTAGTTTCTAGACTTTTCTTTACGTGGTTATATATTCCACGCCGCCTTTCGAGCAAGGTCTTCAACCAAATTAGATCTGATATTTTTATTTTCATGAAAAAGTGATGTTGTTCATTGTTTAAAAACTAAAATAAAAATTTAAATATTCATTTGTTTGTTGTTGGTTGTTTTTATTTTTCTAATTTTTATAACCTGTGTTCATTTTTTAGAAGAAGTTATAACTAAAATGACTGGCAAAATAAGTATTGTTTTATTTTTTAAAGCTGTTAATAGGAGCTGATGGCTTTTTTAGTAAATTCAATTCATTTTCTTATTTATAGATTAAGATTTTATTTTGTAGAAAAAATAATGAGAATAAAATTTTATTCATGTACCTTAATATAATTTGCGTAGTGAATTTTATTATTATTATTATTCTTAGTGCGTATAGTTACGCCTATTGTTTTATAGTTACGGTACGGTTCTGAATTTTGTAAAATACACTTTTTAAGTAGTTTTTTGACTTTTCTTAACCGCGTGCTCTCTTAAAGAAGTTGCAACCTTTCATGGTACGAGTTCAAAATGTCTAAGTAGGTAATGTTTTGTAGCTTAAATTTATAGGTAATATAAAATTTTTTTAAAATTTTATATGTAGTTAATTTATTGTAATCTCTTTTAAATTGTACTTTTAAATTTAAAGCTTCGTGTTATAGATGTCAATATTGAAAATATTGATATTACTATGGTGTCTACCGTTTAAAGATATTTATGGGTAGTTTCATGCTTTCACATGCTTTTAATAATTAGAATAAAAGCCATGACAACATTTTGTTATAAATAAAATTTATCTATAGTATTATTAATTCTTTGGCTCTTTGAAAAAAAATATATTTCTGGCTTTTCAATAAACATATAATAATTTGTCTTGCATTAATGAATTTTGGTTTAGGATATAATTGTGTTATTATATGTTTGTTTTTCTGAACTTAATATAGCATTTATCACCTGTATACATTTTTATTTAAGTTTAATTGTTTATAACTTATTTAGATTATTAGAAAATTTATGTTTATAGAATTGTTATTTAATCATAATCAAGTTGGTTAGACATTAAGTATATATAAAACCTTTTTAAAATTTTTTCTTTATCTTTAAGTTTTAATAATTTTGTTTTCCTTTGAATGAGATCAGTTAAACAAGTCGGCTTTCCATTAAAGATATTGGTTTCAAAATTGAACACCGTTGCCAAAATGCTTACAAAATTAGGTAGTTTTTAAAAATCTGTTTTCTATTTAATATACTTTTTTTTTAATATACTTTTACTATTTTTTTTACTATTTACTATTTATATTTACTTTTCTGTAACAATCCTACAAATATGGAATCACGTAGCTTTTTAAATATGTTTAACTGTCGTCCCTATTGGTAATAAATATTTTTAATTATTTAATATGGTTGTCTTTACAATAGGCTATGCTTGGCTCCTCGGTGCTGTAAATGGTGGCTTCAACTTTAATTGTTTTTTTAAGAAAAATGTGTTTTATATATGCTTCTGTTTTAAAATATTTTTGTTGCATATTTAACTATATATCATGTAAATAAATTTCTTTTAAAGATATGTAAATTTAAGACTTGTTTTTTAACGGATTTTCAAAAAGTGAACAGAGGTTTAAATATTTTTTTTCACTGTCTTATATGGTTTTATCAATTTTATTAAAGCTGAATAGTTACTTCAAAAATATTGAGTAAAATGCAATTGCTTTTTTACTAACCTGATCTATACAAAAATGAATGAATTAAAACTAATAATTTTACGCAATGTTAAGGCAAAATGTATTCCCGACATTTTATAAAATTAGTATAAATATGGATTGGATGTATGCTGAAATATATATGTTAAACACATTAGCTATAAAATATATCGATATATTCCTGTATCGTTTTTTTATAAACAATATTCTGTTGGATTATTAATTAAAAGAAGATTGGTTTAGTAATAAACTTTATCATATAATAATATAGGATTCGAATGCAGGGATAAGCCCTTTCCGGAATTGCGGAAATATATTTCAACTTTTTTTCAGTTTTTCCGGATATCCAATTTCTATGCCTACAAGTTTGGGTGTCATATTTTAGGTGTTTTAAAAATATTTAAAAAGTATTTAAAAATATTGGAAAGTTTAGGTGCAATATTAGTGATATTTTTAAGCTCTTCACTCAGTAAAATGAAAACTTTGAAGAATAAAGAAACGACTCCGCTTAAAGCAAAGTTAAGAGTAAAATTTTTTCCGAATATTAACCTAAACAATTTTACGGAATCAGGAAATTTGAAATCGATGATCTATGCATATAATTCAAGTCATATATTAACTTTACATAGTTGTGATTTGCGCATTTAATGTCTGAACATTGCAAAAGAAATGGTTAACTTTAATGAAGCTAAGAGTTCTCTTAAACTATGAAGCCAAGAAAAATAAAAGTGAGCACAACTAAAAAAATGTGTAAATGAATTGATATTTCATTAGAGAAAATAAATAAAAATCAAATTGTTAGTAATGATTTATTTAATACTAACCCATATTACGGGTTGCTTACTGCTAGCTCTCATAAACAATCCATC